AGCAGTTCGTGCTGCTTGAGCTGATCAAGTGTTTCGGTGTGCTGGTGTGGTCATGCTGGTGCTGCTAGTATGACGTGTGGATGCGTGCCGTTGCCAACCGTACGTGTTGGTGTGTGAAGATTCCACAAACCTCAAGTACTAGGCTCAGGAGGAGTTTAACTCAGGATTAAATTATCCTGAAGAATCTATGTTATTGAACAGAGCGGTAAATTAAGAAATTGTACTTGATTTACGCGTTTGCGAATAAGTTGTATTTACTTCTTGGTTCTAGTAGATTTGATTTCTAGACTTGGTCCCGAGGAGTAGGAAACGAACCCTAGTTAAAAATTCTCTTGTGTCATTTATTTTCTGTAATACATATTGTATCACTGCTTGCATTTATAGGTTTTAGTTTTATAACAAAAAAAATATATTGCTCAGGCTTGAAGTGGTGTAACAAGCCACATTGAAATAGAACATCGAACAAAATTAACAGATAAAGCGCTAGATCTATTTAAGCAAACCAAGTGGTCCACTTGGGTGGTGATAGCTTCGAGAACGAAGGAAAGTGATAAATCCGGGTATGAGGTCCAAAGGTACATGAGCTCCTTGAGTTCTGTAGAGAATTTTGGCCACTCTTCTGATTTTATCGATCATCTTGAGAATGTCATGACAGTTCGTTCCACATACCAGTTTATTGTTGTGGTTGCAAAAACACTCCATAACCCACAAAAGCGCTTCAAACTCCAAGTGAAAAAGGAATAATGTTCGTGGTTGGTGATTGGCCCCTTCCGAAGAGAGATTTATCCTTGTGCACCGCACCAAGTATATTCTAATCCGTTGTTTGGGTCGGTTGATGACCAAACCCCATGTTCCAGTTAGACATTTCTTAATCGAATCGATTCGGTTCGAAGTGTTATGGTTGAACCACCAACCGGTCATTCAGTTACAGCATGGCAAACAATGTATGGGAGTCGTGAAATCCTGTGAAGAGTTTCTCGTTCCTCGTTATGTTAGTGAAAAACTCCAAAAAATATATGAAGAAAATATGTTCATTGGAGATGCTCTTACATACAATAAACAAATTAATTAAAAAATCTTAGACGAATTTATTAAATGTGTAATTTGTTTCTTTTGATTAAATGACTAAACTAGTCGTACTTAGATTAGTAGTAGTAATTAAGCTTGTTGGCTTTTGAAACCCCATTCACCCACGTGCATCCCCAATTATTACACAACCCACAACCTTCATTTTCATATCCTTATAAGAAATGGATACGTTAATATATATAATCGCAAAGTTGTTTCTATAAAATATATAATCGCAAAGTTATTAGTTATAATATCATTTGAAATGAGAGATGATGAAAAAGTGAAAAGGGTTTCTTTTATAAAGCCTCTCATGCCTCAATAACGTGATCCGTTATCTCCCATCTTCTTTGTATTTTCTTCAACGGAGATTTTCTCTACAGCTAAACTATTTGGTCTAGTTTCCACTCTCATTTTCCCAAACTACTCCATTATCGGAACTTATGTCATTATTACAAGTGCTCTTGTGTTTTTTTCTCTTTCACGCATAAATTTTGCAATCGGAACTTATGTAATTATTAACCAAGTGGTGGTTTAATGGTAAAAGACTTAAGAAAAAGAATAAACTCATCTAACATGAGTTCGTTTTCTTCCAAAAACATTTTCACTCCGTTTGATCTGTCGGAATAATGTCACGTTTTAAATCCATTAAAAAATCTGGAGTGTGGACTAGTCAACAGCTACACTCATCTTTGGAGAGTAGTCGGGTGATAAACTCGGATCACCCCTAGTTATAAGAAATGAAGAAAAAACTTATATCATTATTGTTTTAAATGTAAAAACAACGTTTACTACTGTGTTTACATAATATTTCAAAAATAAACGCAAACGTCAAACATAGTATTGGTATTAGAAAATTATTGGTTTTGATGACATCGATATTGTTATTGTGCCACCGATCATATGTTAATTAATTTGTCTGAACTTTAAATAGTTTGCATGAAAATAATGTAAAACCATAGTATCTAAAATTTTGCCTTTCGGTGACTATTATTTGTATCTCAATAAAATATTTTGTACATTATTTGAATACTAATTCTTACATGAACGTGACAAAGAAAAAAAAAAATTCTTACATGAACTAATTTTCAAATTGCAAACAATCTTTGTCACCATATAAGTTATATAACGCTTAGTTTTAATTTTGAATTATCCTGCAGTATAATTAGTTTCATTTTAGATGAGAAAACTATATATATTATAATTAATGAAAAATATAACTTTCTAAAAAAAATTAAATCAATGTAAAAATAAACTAAATCATAAATGTAAATATATATATATATATATATATAACTAAAATCCTAATTGTTGTACAATCAAATCATTTCGTCTTATCAATCGAGATAAGCAATGGAACCACACTTGACAACAAATTAACAAAGTGGAGGTACGGTGGTCGTTTGTTAGAGAATTATCGGGAGGTTAGGACTATAAAACTCAATTATCAAATAACCCAAAAGATACACAAATGGTGTAAACGGTATATGAATAGGCTGAAAAGTAGCTTAAAAATCACTTATGCAAAACTAGCTTAAGAGTCAATTCTATTGAGAAGTTCAACTGAGTGACAATTACAATAGAAATTTTTATTTTCTTTTGTTGGTTAAACAAACTCAAAAACGAATCAAAAAATTACAATATATTAAAAGAGCTTAGGGTGGAAGTATAGTTCAATTTTATCAGCCAAAATATTATTCACTTAATATTAAATTTTAAAAATACTTTTTTTCGATGGATCTAACCTCTTAATTAACTTTTCAATTATTCTGCTATTTCATCAATTTTAAATTTCTCCAACATAGATGTTTTACTCAATTAAATTCCACAACTGATAAAATTTTCCGCCATATTACACTAATAGCATTTAATATCTACAAAGAACCAATAAAATAGTAGTTTGTGCTCATGTGATTTTTAGGGAGAATTTTTTAGAAATTGTACTTTTGAAGCGTCACTTTTCAAAAATACCACTTTTTTCAAAAAATTTGTAAAAATGCTACTTTTTTAAAATCATTTGCTCAATATATCATTTATGTTTGGATTAACTATATTGTATTAGAGTTTCGTTTTGAGAGTTTAGGGTTTGTTTGAAGTCAAAACATTTTTTAGGGTTTAGAATTTTAAGATTTAAGTTTTAAAAAATCTTAATTAGTGGTATTTTTGTAAATAAACCATACATAATCACAATTTTAAAAAATAACACTTGAAAAGTGGAATTTTTGCAATTACCTCATTTTTATGTTACCATCCAAATTCAAATTTGGCATAATACATGTAAAAAAAAAAAAATCCATAGTAGAACAAAAGGGTATACGAGTCATTTGAAGTAGATATATATGTGCACAGCCACGAAGCAGCTTACATATAAAGTGATTGGTAATTGCCACCCCCCACTTATTGAAAACTGCAGCCTTTTATCAACC